ATTACAGAGAAACATTTCTTAATAACAAGGTTACACCGTGGACCAACCCTTACTAGCAAGGTATTACAGAGAAACATTTCTTAATAACAAGGTTACACCGTGGACCAACCCTTACTAGCAAGGTATTACAGAGAAACATTTCTTAATAACAAGGTTACACCGTGGACCAACCCTTACTAGCAAGGTATTACAGAGAAACATTTCTTAATAACAAGGTTACACCGTGGACCAACCCTTACTAGCAAAGTATTACAGAGGAACATCTCTTAATAACAAGGTTACATCGTGGACCAACCCTTACTAGCAAAGTATTACCGAGGAACATCTTTTACAAACAAGGTTACACGTGGACCAACTAATACTCCAAGGTCACTCTGACATGTGACACCACGACCCGACTCTATCAAGGTCACACGTGGACAAATATTAACATATTCACGTTCACCGACACCCTAGAAGTAGGAATCTGCGTGAAAATAGTGTTTTGGAAATTGTTTGATATTTACAGTAAAAATACACAATCAGTAAAGAATTGTTTGGTATAAGTACAGAATATTTACAATGATTATAAATGTTCGTCCGTTATTCTTGGAAGACTAATTTATCACGTGATTCACCGTGTGTTCATCTTCATTATGTACTTTGTTTACAGAGCTAGTTTATCACGTGATTCACCGAGTGTTCATCTTCATTATGTACTTTGTTTACAGAGCTAATTTATCACGTGATTCACCGAGTGTTCATCTTCATTATGTACTTTGTTTACAGAGCTAGTTTATCACGTGATTCACCGAGTGTTCATCTTCATTATGTACTTTGTTTACAGAGCTAGTTGATCACGTGATTCACCGAGTGTTCATCTTCATTATGTACTTTGTTTACAGAGCTAGTTTATCACGTGATTCACCGAGTGTTCATCTTGATTATGCACTTTGTTTACAGAGCTAGTTTATCACGTGATTCACCGAGTGTTCATCTTCATTATGTACTTTGTTTACAGAGCTAGTTTATCACGTGATTCACCGAGTGTTCATCTTCATTATGTACTTTGTTCACAGAGCTAGTTTATCACGTGATTCACCGTGTGTTCATCTTCATTATGTACTTTGTTTACAGAGCTAGTTTATCACGTAATATCAGATATGATATTCCTTAATGAATTCAAGCAAACAGAAATGCGTGCGCCTTGAGGCTGCTACACTAATTAAATGGACGTGACGACGAATATCTGAAACTGTATCTCGTCGAGGAGCCATTTAACAGTTTCGTGGGCACGTGTTGAAATCTTTTAATTTAATGGTTGACAGTTAATCAGACGGAAAGCCCGGGAGTTGGAGAAAATGGGTCGTGTTCCACAAGCGAAAAACGATTGTCTGGAGCAAACGGAGCATAGGACGCGCTGATAAATCTATGGGGACTGTCTAAACGTCGAGGGGTTATCTGTATATCGCACCACAGTAGTTTTCATTAGCATCGTTGATGGCAAAAATCAAATATCAACTCAGTATTATAGAAGCCGCCTCTGTTTTTATGGGTTTTTTTCACTAGATACAATTTGAGGCTTAAAACTTAGGGTTAACAATGCATCCCACGGAAGTCGGGAAATTTTTTCTATTTTGCTTCCGTAACGTATGATAAATGTAAGAGAACGCAATGATGTTTTAAATAATTGAAATATTAAATATGGGTTCATAAACCAAGGGTTTATCGTAAAGGATTAGAAAAAATATTCTAGGCTTAGAAGTATTTACTATGTGTGCAGGAAGCATCGTCTATTAAAAATGACGGATCGACAATGATCACAGCGTCTCATAGCTCATCCTACATTGATTTATCTAACTATTCAATGCCTGGACGCAAGAAAAATTACCGACAAACCAAGCGTGACATCGAGTGTTACCGACAAACCAAGCGTGACGTCGAGTGTCACCGACAAACCAAGCGTGACGTCGAGTGTTACCGACAAACCAAGCGTGACATCGAGTGTTACCGACAAACCAAGCGTGACATCGAGTGTTACCGACAAACCAAGCGTGACATCGAGTGCTGCCGACAAACCAAGTGTGACATCGAGTGCTACCGACAAACCAAGTGTGACATCGAGTGTTACTGACGGTTTTTTACATTTACCTAATCAACATATTTCTGAAAGTAATGAAAAAAAAAAGGGGATACATGCAAATTAATTTATTAACTTAATTAAATCATGCAAAAAAGTCTTTATCTCTTCAGTTTTCTGCAGGCAATGCTTTTAAATGTAGCTGGTTTTGCTACAAGTTTTAATTGAATGTCTTTCTCATAATACCGGTTCATCCTTCAAAATACTGAAAGAAAGACTTGTCTTATAGATATACTTTTAGATCCAAACTTTTAAATTCTTTAATATGGGTATAACCTTGCTAGATTACATTCTGTTAGTACTATATCCATAATTAGGCCTAACCCAATTGATGCAATTTTTCAGTCTCGGTCTTTTTTTTAGACACAGACATAAATTTTTAATAACATCATACATACAAAAAACTACACAGAAACTTGTGAAATATACAATTTCAACGGCAAAAAGAAAAACTGATATCTTAGGTACTGATTCTTTGCCTCAAATTGTCGTGTTGAACAGTGTACTGGAGAAACTTCAAATTTAACCCTTGAATTTTTTATTTTTTTCAGAATTTAATGCAAAGTTACAGAAGAACTATCTGTGCCTAGTCTTTCCTGGTTCTTTTATTGATGCACTGGAGGAAAGACAGCATCCATTACCTATTTTTGTGTGATGGGCTACTGGGATTTCACTGTAACTCTTATAGCACACTCATAGTCCCAAAACACGTCAATCCATTTTTTTTTGCAACAATGGGACATAAACCACGAATCCTTTGATTCACAGTCCAGGAATGATAATTAGTGGGCCACATGTAACCCTTATCCTTTGATTATAATATCTTCACAAAATATTATCAATACTATTTTCGACATTGGCTTCGTAATGTTTCATAATATATATTTCTTCATGATTTATTCAGAATAATTAAATAAGTATATAAAGCAAAATATCTTACATATTGTTCTTTGATTTTTATTGTCATAAACCATATGCTATTTGTATTTTTTCCAATATATTTATGCCATATTCACTAAACATGATTAGTTAGAGAAATGAAACTGAACATTAAGATATGTATAAAAAAATGTATTGCACTGTATACACTTTCAAACAAATGTGCCTTTCCTCTGTACTCACACACACAAAGTTCTGGTTTGTATGATTTAAGAGAATGGTCCTCATCAATGATAGAACATTTCTTATCAAATTCATGTTACCGAGATTGTACAAGTTATTTAATAATGCTCTAATGTCTCGTCACTGTTTACCTAATTTTAGAGAAATATTTCTATATTTGCTGAAAGACTGTGAGATAATGTGACTAATTTGAATTTGTTTTTCTCCCTATAATTTTTATTTGTTAGTTTTTTTGAGAAAACTATCACCAGGAAATTAAATATCCCAGAGGCTCAATAGAACCAGCTTAAACTTATAATATATTAATGGTACAATAGTTTGTGCAGGATAGCATGCCTTAGTCTTCTCCTTTCATCCTAAAAGTGATTACATTAAAAACTTTCATATTTATATCACTAAACTGTTCATGTAATTTTTAATAATCCACTGAGCAATTCTGTACTTCCTAACAAAGTTTCAGCTTTGAACAAGATGCAGAGATTTTAAACTTAGAGAAAAAACTACATGGTGACCCCTATTTAATTTTCAGGTTGAGTTGTTTATAAAGGAGGTATCAAAAATCAATTCTCTCGAGGCATAAAACAGACACAAAAATCAATCATGAGGTCAGAGAAAAAATCTAACGAGACAGAAAATCCTTAACAGGTAGAGCAAGCATTGATTTTGACTTATTTAAGGTAACTAACTATATTCTGGAATTAAAAAATAAAAGGATTTACATTTCATTTATATTATTCATTATCACTAATATTACCTTAAAAAGGTTATTAATTAACCCATACATTGTTCACACAACTATGTATGAAGATTTTGATAGATTTCCAACCTGAAATATTCATAAATTTCTATATTATAAATAGGGATTAATTTTAGTTCGGTAACAACACTGATATATTCCTATGTATTATGATATCAGGATCATCAGCCAAATATTTACATTTGAATTTGAGAATTCAAAAGATGCAGAGTTACAGTAAAGAGCTATCTAAACTCCGATATACTGAAGTTCCAGCTACCCCCAAAAAATAAATAATTCATCATTTTATCACCTTTCAAAAGCCTACCACACTAGGCTATGCAGCTGTTGAATCACTTGTATCTGCATGTCTTAAATATGATTTCAAGCAGCATGTAGCATTTATATATATGTATTTGTTGTCAGTAATTATTATGTAAGTCAAAACAAGTATGTTAAATTACTAAGAACTTCCAGTTTTGAGAGGAATAATTGGAATTAACTGAAAGTATATAACAGTAACCAAAAGACCAGATGAAATCGCTAGATGGTTTCCTGGGTAGTTGAGATTTTAAGAACATTTTCAGATCTTGTAAGCTTGAAAAACAAATGGCAACAGCTTGCCACACGTGATTCATTCATTTTTAACTACAAGAAAGTGCACAATACAATGCTTCTTTTCACACAAACACACACACATATATATTTACACACACACACACATACGGTGAATGACATTTAAAAAGAATAAGAAAAACATCCAACCTTGGATTTCCTCTTAGTGCAGCATGATGAAGAGCATTGAAGCCATTGTTATTAGTCAGACTGATGTCAGCATTGTGGTCTAAAAGCAACGTGAGCATATCATCTCGTTTCTTACTGATTGAATCATGAAGTGCTGTATCTCCTTCCGAATCCTACAAGAAAATTAATCAAAGTATTAGAAACTAAAGAAGCATAGTCGTTTCATTAGGCAACAGATAAAGGTCTAAGTAATAGGTTATTGTGCTGGAAATATTTATCACTTACAACTTATGGTTCTTAATAACAGCTTCATTGATTTCACCATTAATAAGATTTAATGAATTAGTAAAACAAATCTAATACTTTTATCTAAATAATTGTTCTTTTGAATCATCAATATTGTGTTTTATTAAAGCATGAGAAATATTCTAATTCAAGGGATGAGATTTTTGTTGACCAATTACAAACATTAAATACTAATGCCTAGAATAATGAAACAATTTCTACATTATGTGATCTTAAGTGATTGATGCTACATTTACATTATTCCCCTCCTTCACAGAAGTTATCACCCCTATTACTCAGCTACTTTTTAAACATCTCCACTTTCCAGTAAAAAACAAACAAACCTCAACAATGTTTTTTAATAATAAACAAAGTTGTTATAAGAACTTCAGTTTCATTAAACTAGTATTAAGTTTAAATGTGGTTTGGTTTGAATTATGCGCAAAGCTACATGAGGGCTATCTGCGCTAACCGTCCCTAATTTAGCAGTGTAAGGGAAGACAGCTAGTCATCCCCACCTACCGCCATCTCTTGGGCTACTCTTTTAACAATGAATAGTGGGATTGACCATCACATTATAATGCCCCCACGGCTAAATGGGAGAGCATGTTTGGTGGGACAGAGATTCGAACCTGTGACCCTCAGATTGCGAGTTTAGCTCCCTAACCACCTGGCCATGCTGGGCCGTTTAAATGTGTTCTTACATAAAATTTTTTATATTTATACCCTCTACTTGGAAACCTTGGGCTGTGTCACTTTACAAAGGAGTCTAAATCATGTATTTCTTAAGAAGCATCTTTATAAATACAACTCTAGCAAGTCCTACATTACTGCCGTGAACATAAATAACTGTTAAAAATAATACTTTCAAGTTATTGCAGAAGAGAAAGAACTATGAATAATATTTAAGAACAGAAAAATATATGCATGTGTTTAAAGTGTTATATTCAGTAATACAGCAGTCTTTGCAAACCTTCTTACCTGCAAGCTAGGATGACATCCCAACTCCAACATTATCCTCACCACACCAATGTGACCTTTGTTAACAGCAATGTGTAAGGGTGTTTGACGACGTTTGTTCCGTGCATTCAAGTCTGCACCGGCACGGGCTAACACGTCAACAACACCGGGTTCATCACCAAATGCTGCAAGGTGAATAGCTCGATCTCCATCTTTGTCCTAAAGACAGACATAAAAACAAAAAAGAGGGGAGTTTCAAGTTTAATTAGACTATTTGTAAAAAGCAGTTATAAAAATACAACAATAAACTTCATCAAATTGCATTGTTTAAACTGATAATGTCGTGTGTGTATGTGTGCAGATTTAAACCAACTATTACCGATCACAATTAGATCAAACTAAGCTCAAATTTAGTTATAATGATTAACTTTAACACAGGGGCACATTTTTTATGCATGTTTGCTTACTAATGAAATGAAATGTTTTACTTTCAGCATTTAACATTGCTCAATTTAAGATTATTTGAAAATAATCATAACCTATATATCCCAACAAAGTTCCTTTGACTTCATTACCAATACTACCCACTACACTGGTGTGAAATTAATCCAAGAAAACTTGTATCTATAACTAGTAAAGTTTCAAATGTTCACATAATTGTTGAATTGTTTTCAAGAATAAGTAGTTTACTATTTAACAACAGTACATGTTCCAACTGCAAAAAAGTTTTTTAAACTGAATTATACAAACACTTGACATTTAAATCACTGCTCCAGACTTATTATACTGTCCAGTTTAGAAATGAGCAGCTTGCACTGTCACTGTGCAACAATAATATAAACACAAGATATAACCTTTAGGGAATTACAATGAATCAGATCATGCATCTAAAAAAGGCAATGTTTGAAAAAAAAAATTTTCTAAAGTTATCTGATGAATTTGGAAAAAAATGCACCATACTGTTAATTTCCAGATAAGGAAATTGTTTCTGGAACAAACACTTTGAATGAAAATAATAGCTATAACATTCATTCAAACTAACAACTGTATATGGTCTATCAAAGTAACAGATACACATGGTAATTTCAACTATGAGGGTGTTACAAGGTGATGGTCAATCCCACTATTTGTTGGTAAAGGATAGCCCAAAAGCTGGCATTAGATGGTGTTGACTAACTGCCATCCCTCTAATCCAGGGGTGTTTACACCCCCTGGGGTGCAAAATGAGGGTCCATGGAGTGTGCAGAAGAGGCCTAAACAAGGTCTGTTTTCCCCCAAATGTCACGAAGAGGAAATGTCTAATGCACACAAACAATTAGAAATCCTTATATATAGTTACATACAGTCATTCAAAGTAATCACTTTACACGCTCAGTGTCATCCAGAAAAATATTTGGGGCCAGCAAAAACTTAAGTTTAAAAGCGGAAACTTTAGTTTAAGATTTTAATTGGGCCTATTTTTCCAATCTATCCATGGTAAATGTATTAGTAATAACTGTAATACCATCATGTAACGTGCCTTGAAGATCCCCCTTTTTCTGTAAAACTAAGAAGTTTGAGAAAATTAACCCCCTAGAGAAAGAAAACAAGGAATTCATATTTTCATGCCAATGATATATATATTTTAGGTTATATAAACATTCAGTTGAAGGATGGCAGTACACCTATCCAATATCAGTTCATCATGACATATTTTATATCCACCAACATAACTTACATTACTGCTATCATGACAAGCTAGAAGTCTGAGCACTTTGCACATAACTAGCACTGCAGTAAACCATATAGATTTGGTAAATTGGATCCAACAACTTTACTGAACTGATTAGATGAATGATTGTTGTGTAGTACACATGAATTATATACAACAAGAAACTTGTTTGTTTTTAATTATGCACAAAGCTACACAAGAGCTATCTGTGTTCTGACCACCACGGGTATCAAAACCCGGTTTCTAGCGTTGTAAGTCCACAGACATACCGCTGTGCCACTGGGGGGCACAACAAGAAACATGGTGATACACACGTGGCAACTTTAAAACTATATAGTTCATCACTGGTTAAACATCAATAAAATATTATCTTGTATTTATTGGATGGAACAAAAACAACAAAACTTCACTAATGGATCATCTTAGATATACTAAACACCCTTTCAACAAACTTTGGTAAGGTTTTGACACAAATACACCTCTCTATTTCTACATAAGCAATCTTTTCTCACAGGAACTCAGAAGGCAGATGCATACCCAAGGAAGTATTGACACTAACATGATCGGGATTGGCACAGTGGGCTGTCTTGTTTTTATATAGGTGATGCACTGTCGTTGGCCAAGTAACCAAAGTTGTCAGAGCCCCCCTGAATTATAACATCCACATACAACAAGTGCTACCTCAACCCTAACATTCCAACGTACGGAGAACAAGACTGGTAACTGTCAGTCACACATGGCCAGCACTTGATCTACTACATTCAAAATCAAATAATAATGATAATAAAATATAAATACGTTTAAGCTGTGTTTTGTAAAACAAAATATACAACTTAGTACCCTTATATGCACTTTGTTTTTGGCATACCTGCGAACATTGAATATTTGTGTTTATGTTTGAGAGCTAGAAATACATATTAAATATTTATGACCTTATAGACCACCCTTTGTGTCTAACTTCTTATCAATTAAACAATATTTTTCACTAATATCTTGTGTAGCAGTTGAGGTGTGAACTTATTTCTCCAACAAACATACAGTAATTTCTATACCTCTAACAGAAAAACAGACTAACTTCAGGAACCATAAGTATTAAACTGAAGGCAGCATTACCATATAATTTTGATAAGTTGACAATTTCCCTAACTAGATAGGAGTTTTTGACCAGAAGTAGTGCTAAATTGATGGGGGTATATACACTGGTGCACTGATTGCAAAAAATTTTTAGCAATCCTTAGAAGACATACGAAGATCGAGATAGTTTTATGTGAGAAGAGGTAAGACCATGCCGGAAAATACATTTTGATAAGTTTACAATTTCCTTAACTAGATAAGAGTTTTTGATGCAAAACAATAACTCAACATAAACAGATACAAATAAATATGGTAGCTGTAGGTAGACAGTTAGAAAGATGGAATAAAGATACTAAGATAAAAATAGAAGAAAAAATTAATACACTGAGACTGTAGTCACAGATTTATCTACTTTCTAACATTTCAGCCATAGGCCTACATCTTGTACAGTTAACTAATTAGTGATAAAAATGTTGAAAGAACTTAGTTGATTGCTATCATTAATTTTTTCTTTCCTCACCTGAAATCGTGGTTACTACTCTTAGACAAGCACTATTTTCTTAAGATAAAAAATAAAGGATATACGTGTGAGACCTTAAAACGATTTTGGTAGTTGAAGGGTCAAAAAGACGGGATAAATAGATTTAGGTCAAAAAATAGGAGGTTATATAACTTGATTGTTAAACTGAAGATGAAGAGTTAAAAAAAGATTGGGTAAAGAGAGTTATATAACTTGATTGTTAAACTGAAGATGAAGAGTTAAAAAAAGATTAGGTAAAGAGAGTTATATAAAAAAATGGAAGTATATTAAAAAGATTGGGTAAACAGAGTTATATAAAAGATTGGGTAAACAGAGTTATATAAAAGATGGAAGTTTATTAAAAAAGATTGGGTAAACAGAGTTATATAAAAGATGGAAGTTTATTAAAAAAGATTGGGTAAACAGAGTTATATAAAAGATGTAAGTATATTAAAAAATGATTGGATAAACAAGTTATATAAAAGATGTAAGTTTATTAAAAAAGATTGGGTGAAGAGAGTTAGATAAAAGATGGAAGTTCATGTGTGCTGATTATTAAACTACTTACTATCCATATCAATTTTGCTTGTTTTTTCCCGTGTGTCCTGACCTTTACTAACTAAAAATAATCATAAACTGATGGTGTAAATGTAAGAATTTTTCAGGAAGCATTTCTTGAAAAAACTTTCAACAGACCTTTTGCTCTAAATGGACTTCCAAAGCCACAGGAAAAGAACAAAAAGCCATTGGAGTTGTATCGTGAGACAAAGCATGTCCCCCCACTAACTTTGCCAAGTGCAGTTCTAACAAATTTTATTCACTCCGAACTTTAGCCTCAAATATTGGAAACAATTAATATCAAATATACTTATATGATCAAACAACTTTTTAACTCTGATATATAATTTTTAGATTACATATTTTTTATTATATATTTGATGTAGTAATTTACTTTAAATATAATTTGGAAACCTATACTTAAATGTCACTGATGTCATCTTTCCAAGTTACAAGTCTGGCGAATTAACTGAGTTAAGGGAAAACGCATGAATATTTATGACTGCAACTCCATCGACTTTTATAGGGCCATCACCAAAAATTTGACCTGATTGGCTCCTGAAACAGGTTTCACTTGTGCCTTGTTCAGTCCTCGGTAAGTGAGAGGTACCAAATTTCATCTAAGAAAGAGCAGTAGTACACAAACGTTTTGTATGGCACCCCCTCTCCAAACAAGCATTTTGTCGCACCCCCTAAAACCTATTTGTCATTTTCCCATGCTAATTGTTGTTACTCAAAAGTAGTAATATTTGTACAGTAGTTTTTAAAACATCATTTTCAGGTATAATTTATGTGATCCTATACTTATACTTCTGCACCCCATTAGGAGTGTGCACCACAGACACAGTATTTGTGATGTAGTTTTAATACTAAGTTTACATGTCTAAAGTATGGAAAAATGGCTAGTTTTCAGCAGAATTATACTTTTCACATTTATACAAAACTGTGATTAGTGGGTTTAATGATATAAAACTGTGATTGGTGGGTTTAATGATACAAAACTGTGATTGGTGGGTTTAATGATACAAAACTGTGATTAGTGGGTTTAATGATACAAAACTGTGATTAGTGGGTTTAATGATACAAAACTGTGATTAGTGGGTTT